TTGTTGTGCCTTCTTGACTATCACATCTACGTGGGTAGTCCAGGACAGGTTGTCGGTTATCATCATTCCGAGGAACTTGGTGATCTTCACGCTCAGTTCCATCGATGTAGATAGGGGCGTGTTCTCCTCCTTTCTCTCTGAAGTCGATGATCAGTTCTTTAGTTTTGCCGACGTTCAGAGACAGATTGTTTTCATCGCACCACGTCACCAAGCCCTCTATCTCCATTCTGTGTTTTGACTCGTTGCTGTTAGATATCCGTCCCACTGCGGTGGTGTCGTCAGCGAACTTGTAGATGGTATTCATTCGGAATTTGGCAACACAGTTGTAGGTGTACATGGAGTACAGTAGGGGGCTGAGGATGCATCACTGGGGGGCTCCAGTGTTGAGGTTATTGTGGAGGAGGTGCAGTTACCTATCCTCACTGATTGTGGCCTGTGGGTCAGAAAGCTGAGGATCCAGTTGCAGAGGGTGGAGCCAAGACCAAGGTCAAGGAGTTTTGAGATCAGTCTGGAGGGGATGTCTTCACAGAATCATGGAATCCCTACAGTGCAGGTGATCCAGTCTACGCCAACCTTAACTCTCTTAACACCAGTGCATTGAGTATAGGAGTTGGGAGGTCATATTGTAGCTGTACAGGACATTGGTTAGGCCACTTTTGGAATACTGCGTTCAATTCTGTTCTCCCTGCTACAGGAAGGATGTTGTTAAATTCGAGAGGGTGCAGAAAAGATTTACAAGGATGTTGCCGGGGTTGGGGGGATTTGAACTATAAAGGAGAGTTGAATAGAATCCCTACATTGCGGAAGCAGGCTATTCAGCCCATTGGGTCAACACTGACTCTCTGAAGAGTATCCCAGCCAGACCCATCCTATCCCTGTAATCTTGTGTTTCCCTTGGCTAACCCATCCAGTCTGCACATCCCTGGAAACTATGGGACAATTTAGCACGGCCAATCCACCCTAACCTACACATCCCTGGACACTATGGGGCAATTTAGCACGGCCAACCCACCCTAACCTGCACATCCCTGGGCACTATGGGGCAATTTAGCACGGCCAATCCACCCTAACCTGCACATCTTTGGACTGTGGGAGGAAACCCACGCAGACACGGGGAGAATTTGCAAACTCTACACATGCCGTTACCAAAGGCTGGAATTGAACTGCTGTGAGGCAGCACTGCTAACCCCTGAGCCACCATGCTGCCCAGTAGCCTGAGAGTTTTATTCCCTGAGGGGGGACCTTATAGAGGTTTATAAAATCATGAGGGGCATAGATAGGGTGAATAGCCAAGGTCTTTTCCACAGGACTGGGGGGAGTCCAAAACTAGAGGGGCATAGATTTAAGGTGAGAGGGGAAAGATTCAAAAGGGACCTGAGGGGAAACTTTTTCACGCAGAGGGTGGTGCGTGTATGGAATGAGCTGCCAGAGGAAGTGGTGGAGGCTGGTACAATGACAACATTTAAAAGGCACCTGGATGGGTACATGGATAGGAAGGGATTAGAGAGATATGGGGCAAACGCTGGCAAATGGGACTAGATTAATTTAGGATATCTGGTTGGCACAGATGAGTTGGACCGAAGGGCCTGTTTCCGTGCTGTACATCTCTATGGCTCTATGTCTGGTTAGCATGGACAAGTTGGACCGAAGGGTCTGTTTTCTTGCTGTTTGACTGTATGACCTCAGCCTGGTTAAGACTCCATTTTGGAGAATACCGCACATGTAACTGAACTGTAACTTCCTCTTCTCTATACTCTGTTAGTGATGGTACACCATTACCAGTTTTGGCAAACTTCACTTTATTAAGTTAATTTTCTGTATTCCAGTCATAGAACATGTGACAAAGACAGAATATGTGGATGTTCCTTTTGCCGGTTTTCTGTCTTCTTGTGAAATCCTGTCCAGTGTGCAATTCCCAACTGCTGTAATTCTGCTCTGGCATTGACCCTCCATTTGCAATAACGTACCACCTCTAATAAGTAGCCCCTCTGTGTTCCCTCTAAGGAAGACTGCAAGAGTTGATTTGGACAAGATGAAATCTGGCACTAAACATGTGACCGATTAAGTGAGATACAACTGTTTGAAAGTCTGCTTTTAACACATGATTCTGCTTCAAATTTGAGATTGAACTTGCCAGGAGAAACTGAAACAAGCACTGATCAGAAGCAATGTGGTGAAACGATATATCTGGGCTCCATCACCCACTTGTTCCGAGGGCGTTTGCTGAAGAAAGGACACATTTCATCGAAGATTTCCATCTTGAAAACTCATCAGCGAGAGATGCCAATGTAAAGGAAAGGGGCTGAATTCCCCGTCCCAAAAGCTGATTTTGCAGCTGTCTGTAAGATTATCCCGAATGGCTACATCCTGCTCTCAAGTGAGGAATGTGGTGGAGGAATTTCAGTGCCAGTGTTATACTGGTTATATAAGAATGACGTTCCTAAGATAGTCATTTTCAGCATCATCCCTCAAGGCAATGCCATGACTAGTCAGAGTCAACTTACATGGTGCAAATTTAAACAACTTGGCAGTTAACTGTCGGACGTCAACTAATTGATAACGAAACACTCCCTTTCTCCTGGTAAATCCTATGAAATATCCAATAAGGTAACATTGCTCAGTACTTATTCCAAAAGTAAAATCCTCAAATGCCTCCACTAATTAGAGTCCACTTGCCAATAATTCATTGCTCTCTTAAGGTTCAGAAAAGATTTATCGGGAACGGAGGGTTTGAATTCTAAAAATAGACTGGATAGGTTGGAACTTTGTTCCCTAGAGTGTAGGAGGCTGAGGGGTGACCTTGTTGAGGGGCATGGATAAGGTAAATAGCCAAAGTCTTTTCCCTAAGGTAGGGGACCTTAAAACTAAAGGGACATATTTTTAAGGTGAAAGGAGAAAGGTTTTAAAAAGACATGAGGGGCAACTTTTTTACACAGTGTGTAGAATGAGCTTCCAGAGGAAGTGGTGGATGTGGGTACAGTTACAATGTTTAAAAGACATTTGGATAAGGACACGAATAGGGAAAGGTTTGGAGGGACATGGGCCAGGAGCAGGCAGGTGGGACTGGTTTAGTTTGGGAATTATGGTCAGCCTGGACTGGTTGGGCCGAAGGGTCTGTTTCCGCGCTGTATGATTCTACGGGTCTTCTAATTCGGTATAAACTGATATTCCTCTTTACGTTGTATTCTTGCAAATTGTCCAGATGAATGCGAAATGAAACAGCCTGGCAAGTCGTTTGAGGGTGAGGAGTGTGCTGTATGACACACAGTGGTTCAGGAGTGAGAGACCATGCAGGTTACCAGAAGCAACAGTGTACATCCACCAGAGAGGAGATCCTGAGGAGGAAAGACGGTCTGTAAGCAAGAAACAGGCAGGAGTCTCCCACATTGCCTTGGCTCTTGCTCAGCCATGTTCTTCTCCCATACCTCCTGCATTCCCCAAACAATTTGCTGATAAACAAACAATCCCCTTCGTCTGGTCAACCCTATGGAATATCCAATAAGGTAACATAGCACATTTTGAAAAGGCAAATTAGGGCAGGACTTTCATAGTTAATAGCAGGGCCATGGGGAGTGTTACTGAGCAAAGACAGCTATGGATGCAGATGCATAGTTCCTTGAAAATGGAGTCGTAGGTAGACAGGGCGGTGAAGAAGGTGTTTGGTACACTTGCCTTTATTGGTCAGTGCATTGAGTATAGGAGTTGGGAGGTCATGTTGCAGCTGGACAGGACACTGGTGAGGCCACTTTTGGAATACTGCGTTCAATTCTGGTCTCCCTGCTGTAGGAAGGATGTTGTGAAACTTGAAAGGGTTTTACAGATTTACGAGGATGTAGCTGGGGTTGGAGGGTTTGAGCTACAGGGAGATGCTGAACAGGCTGGGGCTATTTTCCCTGGAACGTCGGAGGCTGAGGGGGTGACCTTATAGAGGTTTATAAAATCATGAGGGGCATGGATAGGGTGAGTAGCCAAGGTCTTTTCCCCAGGGTAGGGGGAATCCAAAACTAGAGGGGCATAGGTTTAAGGTGAGAGGGGAAAGATTTAAAAGGGACATAAGGGGCAACTTTTTCACACAGAGGGTGGTGCGTGTATGGAATGAGCTGCCAGAGGAAGTGGTGGAGGCTGGTACAATTATAACATTTAAAAGGCATCTGGATGGGTACATGAATAGGAAGGGTTTAGAGGGATATGGGCCAAATGCTGGCAAATGGGACTAGATTAATTTAGGATATCTGGTCGGCATGGACGGGTTGGACCAAAGGGTCTGCTGTACAACTCTATGACTTACTCAATGGATGAAGAAGTCGATAGAATCTCGGTGACGTTTTTGAGGAGGTGCCCCGGAAAATCTACCAATAAGTTACAATAAGGCCTTTACAAACTTCTGGGAGCAAGGTGACAGTAAACTCATGCCTAAAATTCTTTGTTTATAGGCCAAGAGAAGTAGGAATACCTTTACAGCACGGCTTATAGACCGAGAGAAAGAGGAATA